CCTCAGTTTCATACTTCCCATCCCCCAAGAAAGCAGACTAATTTACCTGGAAGTTGAGAGTTAAACACCAAGAGGAGGAAGATGTGCAAATGACCCAGAGCAGGACACAGGAAGTGTCAGGTGTCAGGTGGTATTAAGGAGGGGATGGGCCTATGGTGGAGATTTTAAAGGCTCAGGCAGGGACCTGTATGTGCAGTGGATTGAGAAAAACATGCAGATTGGGGAAGCTAGACGACATTGGGAAGAACAGTAAAGAGTTCCAGGCTCTCCATGCTGGCCATACATCGTGGGCTTCATAGCAACCTGGCACAGCTGTCACTCTTTAGAGAGCCAGTCCAAGACCGGATGTGGTCACTCTTACATCCTGTAGGAAGGGGCGGAACTAGGCCTTCGAGCCCTGTGGCGGAAGCGAGGGTGTGCGTTCCGCCAGACCCGCTGCTGGCAAGTTCTAGAACTGGTCTGTGGTCAAGGTAAGGACCTCGATTGCCTGTTTAAAAGAATGTACCTCAGTAAATAATAGGGTTTTTGCTCATTTCTGCCCCTAGGTCAGCCTGATGGCCTTTAGTGTACCTCTGCTTGTCTCCGGGCAGGGTGGAGACCTTGGACTTAGAATTGAGCCGTGATTCTTAAGATGGCATGACAAAGGTTACATTGGGTTTTTGAATGTCCACACTAAGCCATCCTGGCATTAGGCTCTAGAGTTCCCCCAGGCAGAATACATAAGCAAACGGGGTGGGGAAATGAGAAATGTAAGTTTAATAAAGTACGTGTTTAAAAAAAATATTCAATCACAGACGGCCTACTCTGAACAGGCACCGGGCGATAGACTTTAAGACTTTAGTTGAATTCCTTGAACCCACAAGACGGAATGAGAGAACCCACTCCTGCAAATTCTGATTTCCTGCCACAAAAGAAGCAAAAAGTCAAAGACAAGCTACATAGGATTAGCCACGCCCAGCATGTGGGTGGTGGGGGAGCCCTGGACAGAAAATAACTGGGCGTTGGGAGGAGATATTTCGAAGTTTCTGTCAGGCAGGCGTTGACAGGAGATATCATGAGGCTTCTGCTGCCCATTAGGCAAAGCTATGAATAAGAGATATCACAAGGCCTGTGTTTGGTGGGAGCCGTGATCGGTTGACCTGTCGAGCAGGCGTTGACGGGCGATAGCACAAGGATAAGAGATATTGGGAGCTTTCAATGTGATTCTTGAAAAGACAGTGTTTAGAAAAAAGGGAATGGGGGTTGGGCAGGAGGTGGGAGGCTAGAGAAACAGCCCAGTGTTTGGGTGTTTGCTTAGCATACCTAAAGTTCTAGGTTCAGTTCCTAGGACTAAAAAAGTGCAAATTATTAAGAATAAATGCATGAAAGAGTTCAAATCTATCCCTAAAACCCACAGTTACTGATAGAAATAGGAGGATAATGGGACTTTAACCAGGATGAACAGGAAAGGAGTTGAAAAAATGGGGTGATGAGGGGGCAGTGAGAATGATCAAAGTACATGATATTTGCATGTGAAATTTGACATTGTTTCCATATTTCAGTAAAATGAGTATACACCAAGAAAGAAGAAAAAGTTTGAGTTTTTTAAAGATTTGAAAACAGTGATTTTTTTCATTTATTTTATTTACTTCTTTGAGTGTTGTATACAATGTGTTTTGACCATAGTTCCCCTCAATTTCTCCCAGACCCACCCCTCCTCCCTGCCATCCAAGTTCCTGCTCTTTTTTCCCTTCCTGTTGAATTTGTATTGTCCACATTCATTTTGTAAAGTATTTAAACTTAGAATGTAGTTACATTATTTTCCACCCCTCCTATTCCTCCTCCAACTCCTCCCACACACCCCCACTCCCTCTCAACTTCCTGACCTTTTTATTATTTCTATCTTTCAAAGATTTTTTATTTTTTAGTTTTATTGTATGTGTATGAGTGCATTACCTCATGTAAGTGCCCTCAGAAATCAGAAGAGGACATCAGCTCCGTGGGACCTGGAATTACTGATAGTTAGCCACCATTAGGTACTGGGAACTGGACCTGGGTCCTCTGCAAGAGCAGCCAGTGCTCTTGACTAGTGAGCCATCTCTCCATCTCTCCAGTCCCTATTATTATTTTTCTAGTTTTGTTTCCCCCATCGGAGGTGTGACTATAGCTTGCCAGCATTGTGGTCAGAAGACACTTCCAGTTAACACTCCACCCCTTTCTCTGGCTTTTGCATTCTTTCCACCAACCTCTTCCACAAAGTCTCTGAGCTGTGGAGGGGGTGATAGGTGTAGGATGATCTTTCTCCCTTTGTGGCAAGGTATGGGACTTTCGGGTCTCTCCGTGATCTGTTTTTCATGGGCTGTTGGCCCATTTCAGTGGGATTCTATCTACTATAAAAACAGAAACAGCACCAAGCAAGAACATCTGAACAATAGCTGCTGTAATAACTTAATCTATGGGTGTAAACACAAATGCTTGGATGGTACTTTAACAGGTACGTCACATCCATCTAACAAAACAACTTCAGTGGCTTCCCCACTGGGGCTTATATTCTCACCTGACATAGGGAGTATGCCTGGTCTACAGTACTAGATGTCTGGTCCACCTCTAGGAGCAGGCATTATATCCAATTGAAAATTTGCTCCATTGTACATACGTTAGACGCACCAGTATTTGCACCAGCTGGAACATCTTGTTTGGCAGGTTGATAGTGTAGTATGCAGGGTCCGTTGTTGAGCAGAACTATAGGGGATAGTTCTCTAGCCATCTGCATATCACATTCTGGCAGTATGAAAGTCACCCATCCAGTGGCAGGGAGCTTCCAGCTTAGTCCAAGGTTGATTTCTCTATCTCCTGCTCTCATGTAGTATCTTCAGCAACAGGGTTTGACTTTCCACTTATGGTGTACAACCAACATTATTGGTAATGGCCTTTATTGTTTGGGGGAACTCTAGAGCCCCTCTGCCCAACAGTTCATGGGAAGGGGGTAACCCACCTCCAGCACTGGTATTTTCATTTAGTAACTGTATGGCTTCTAGTAGGGCTTTCTTCCATCCCCGTATGGTTCCTTCTGTGCTTGAGGCTTTTTTTTTTCCTTCTGTGTACTTGGAGAATTTTTCCCCATAGTTCTTTGTATAGCCCTCCTTCCCCTATATCCCCATTTTGCATATTTCTCCCTTAGTTCCTATTATTTTTGTCTTACGTGTATGAGTATAGTGCCTGCATGTCTGTAAGTGCACCCATGTCGTCCAATGCCTATGAACGTCAGAAGATGGAGTTGAATCCTCTGGAACTGGAGTTACAGATGGTTGTTAGTTGCCTTGTGGGTGCTGGCAACTGAAACTGGGCCCTTTGCAAGAGCAGCCAGGGCTCTTAACTGCTGAGCCATCTCTCCAGAACCTAACCTGTTTTTCAAATATTACTACATTGTTTATATAAATAACCTACTGAGTCCACTTAGTAGTGCTACTGTGTATATGTGTTTAGGGCTGATCTTTGGATAACTTATTATCCCTAGAGAAAATTGACTTGCCTTCTCTTAGCAGCCATTGATTGGTTGTAGCTCTTTGTCTAGAACTGTGATCTTGTAAATGTTTCCCACGTGTACCTTGGCATGTCAGAGGTGTCATTATGTAGGTATTGTTTAGGAAACCATATTGTTGAGATTTCATGGGTGTACCTTCTCCGCCATGTCTGGAAGACACTCTCTAACAGCAGGCATCCTTGTCCATTGGCTCTTAAAATATTTCTTCACATTCCCTCTTCCACAGTACTCATGCTTTAGGTGCAAGGGTTACACCATGTAACAGTTAGGACTAGATACCCTTGGTCACTTATTCTCTACATTTTGACCAGTAGTGAATCTTGTTTGGGCAGGATACAAAAGGTGTCCTAGTTGAATACAAATTCAGAATTAGAAAGCAGCATGGCAAGGCTTATGGAGAAGGAGCTGGCAAAGTAAGATGCATTCTGTCTTCTTCAAAAGGTGCTCTCCGAGAAGGGACAGCCTTTGCCTAATGTATGTCCACCTGAGCCTTCATTGCTAGTATCTAACAGCAGTAATGGATACAAAGATGAAGCAATCACTTCCAAAATGGGACCACTTAAAGTCCAAGCTCTTTGTTGAGACCTAGACACATTCATCTGATTACCTGCAGTCATCTTCCCAGGGAAGTTTCAGTCTCAGAGGGCAAAGATTAGTGTTGTGAGCTTCAGCATCTCCCTCAGATCTTTGTCTTTGTGGTATGTTGTCTGAAAGTGAATTTCAGTACGTGTACCCATATATGAGTGGATGCTTGTCTAAACAAGACAGGTATTGATCCTTATGAGCCATCCGTAATGCTTTTTGATATAGGGTCACTCACTGGATTGGAGCTTGAAAATAGGCTGTGTTATCTGATTGCTGAGCCCCAGGCATAGGCATATCAATACACCAGTACTGAAATTACAAGTACAATCCAATACACCATGCTTTTTTTTTTTTTTACAATGGTTCTGGGGCTCAAAATCAGGTAGCCTTGAGCGAAAATCCTTAGTCTGAAGGTGTAGCATCCAGTAAAAAGGAAGATGGTGACTTGCTTAACAGGAAGTCTAGGAAAGGAAGCTGAAGGAGAGTTGAGGACACCAAAAAGCCCAATAAAGAAAGAACATTACTGAATTCTCAGTATTCTCTGTGCCCAAAGTAGTACAGTGGACTGAACTCTGGAGCTATCCTCCTCAAGACCCCTAGGCATCTTTCATATGGCAAGCATTAGAGAACAGTATTAGATGTGAGTAGAACCGAGACTGTTCAAATTCCTCTTTAAGTCAGATTTCATGGAGAGTGATTAAGAAAACAGGGCTCCCACTGGATTCTTAGAGCAGTGTTCTCAATCAAAACCTGAGAAAGGGAAGGGTGCTGGTGAAAGCCGTGGTATTCACAACCTGCTGAAAGTCCTCATAGTCTTTATTTTCTGTTATGGTGTCCAGGTATCTGTTCTGCTACACACAACGTCTGCTTGTTGTCCCTTACCACACCCATAATGCCCAGAGGAAAGAAGAGTAAGATTCGTGCTCGTGAAAAGCGCCGCCAGGTCCAAGATGAGGCCCAGGAGCTCAAGGATCTTCACGCCACTGCAACAGAGAAAGGAGAGTCACCTTCCTGCTCTGATCAAGCTTCTGGAGATGCTGTTCCCAGCACTTCTGCTGGCCTCCCTCAGAAGTCTCAGGGCATGGTACCCACACCCTCTGCTGGTAAAGGCATGGCCCACAGAAGGTCTGATAAAGGTGCGAAGGGCAAAAGGGGTGAAAAGGGGAACTCTTCTACGGCTCCACCTTCCACTGCAGCCCCAGAGATTGATCTTCTATCAAAGAAGGCAGGCATGCTGTTGGAGTACATGATGCACAGGTACAAAATCAACCAGCCCATAAAGAAGGGAGAAATGCTGAAAGTTGTCAACAAAAGGTTCAAGCAGCAATTCTCTGAAATCCTCAAGAAAGCTATCTATCACTTAGATTTGGTTTTTGGCCTTGAGCTAAAAGAACTCCAGCCCAATGGTCAGTCGTATATGGTTGTCAGCAAGCTAGATTTCCAGGATGATGGAAGTAAGAGCAACGAGCTGGGTGTTCCCAACAGGGGCATTCTGATCCCTCTCCTGAGTGTGATCTACTTATATGGCTACTGTGCTTCAGAGGAGGAAGTCTGGGATTTCCTGAATATGTTAGGCGTCTATGATGGAGTCTCACACATCATCTTTGGTGATATCAGGAAGCTCATCACCAAAGATCTAGTGCAAGAAAATTACCTGGAGTACCGTCAGGTAGCCGACAGTGACCCTCCACGCTTTGAATTCCTGTGGGGTCTGCGAGCCTATACTGAAGCCAGCATGGTAAAGGTGATGGAGTTTTTGAAGAACATCACTGAAAACATGCCCAGTGTCTACTCAGCTCGTTATGAAAAGTTTTTGAAGGAAGAAGAAGAAGAGAAAGCCCAGGCTGAAGCTGCATCCCAGGGCGGCACGAAAAGCAAGTGCAAAGGTCACTCTAAGGGCAAGTCAAGCCATCCAACTTAGTGAGATCGAAGGTAGTCTCCAGTCTGTGATTGAAAATGTCTATTCATCTTTGTTCTTGTTATACTCTAATAAGTTTATACATTTTTCAGTTTTGTATGTATCAAAATATTAACTTGGAGTTAGACTATACACCTAAGATTTTGTAGATGTTGCCTTTGTTGCTATTTACCAAGTTGAGTAATTAAAGTTTAGACTGATTAGAATATAAGTTGGAATTTTACATAAGACTTTGGTGGTGATACATCAAGATAATATCATTGAAAGAGGAAGATGCTTGGAAATAGGAAAGATGAGTGGTAAAAATATTTGAGCCTGGATGGTGGAGAAAGATGATCACATCTTTGTTCATTTACTCCATGTACTTTTTCTTTTCAAACATATGAAGATGTGTGTTTACATTTGTTTTTGTTATTAAAGAGCATATAAAAAAGCTAAATCAGAGTGAATGAGATCTCTTTTTTGCGATTCTTTTGCTTCCCAAACATTAATCAAACATCCAGTCTTGAGGAGTCATCAGACTTTTTACCATAGCTATTTATTAAATGTAGATCCAGCACCTCCTCATACAGTGGTAGATTCTAGGATAAATTCTTAAGATGGATGACAGTGAAATATGATCCTTTCCAATGAAGTAGGAAACAGGGTTGCGTGGGGTTGGAAAGAATGCGTTTTGCAGTTTTAATTAAAAAATTATTTTTGTTTTATGTGTATGTGTATATTTCCTGTGTGTAGGTAAGTACACCAGTGTCGTGCAATGCCTGCGGAGGACAGAAGAGGCTGTCGCATCCCCTGGAACTGGAGTTAGGACAGTTGTTAGCTGCCATGCGGGTGCTGGGATTCAAACCCGGGTCTTCTGCAAGAACAACCAGTGTTCCTAACCACTGAGCCATCTCTCTAGCCCCTGCAGTTTTCATTTGTATCAGCTTTTTGGCAGAAACTTTTCTGATTTTTAGTCTTCCTGTGATTTAAATTGCTTTGCACTTTGTGGCAAGTCTCAAACATTAAGAAAAATAATCCCAAGTGAACGTATAGTAATGAATCAAGTCAAAATGCTCACATTAATGGTTAGCACTTATTAATTCATAAAGACAGCTAAAGGCACAATGACTGCCCATTCAACACTCTTTTCCCAATTCTCTAAGAATCCTCTAAAATTCATTTCTCAGTGAAAAATGAGAGACATAGATACATAATATTCTTAATAGAGTTGAGACTAGAGATCCTGTCTAGAGCCCACACTGCTTCATTTCTCCTAAGTTGTTATATATACTGCAGCTTATTTCAGTTTTTTACAGATACATATTTTTGAAATTTTTATTATTTTTATTTTATGTGTATGAGTGTATTGGTTGCATGTATGTAAGTGCGGAGGTTAGAAGAGGGCATCTCCAGGAACTGGAGTTTAAGATGATTGTTAGCTCCCATGTGAGTACTGGGGATTGAAAGGTCCTCTGCAAGAGCAGCCAGCGCTCTTAACCACTGAACCATCTCTGCAGCTCCAGTTTATTTCAGTTTTATTCTCAATATTCCAGCATATTCCCGATGTCAAAGGAATGGCCTTTTACCCAAAGTATTTGAATACATAACTGGTGCAACAAGAGTCTCAAAACAAATGTATAAATAAGGAAATGAAAGAGAATATTCAGTGATATTATAAATATTTACATGTTGAGTATCAGTATATCCTCATCTGATAAGGTGCATGAGGCCAGTAGGGACGTGGCTTTGTTGTAGACCAATTTCCAGCTCTTGTGTTTACTTCTTAACAACATTGTAAAAGCCTTGTCATTGTGGAAAAATAGTACTTCTATGGCAGAGTTTATATGCAAATCTAATTCTGCTGAGTGGGATTTATCAGTTTTTATTCCTATATCCTGAGCCTGGTGTCCAGTGCTATAGTTCACCCACCTCATACTTTGTGACAGCTAACTCGTTTTCAACAATGTTTGCAAGTTAACAATGTACTTTCAAATAGAGGAGACAGAAGAGTGTCCTTCTGTGGCTTTCATGATCACACACTAACAAGAACTTCCAGAGAAAACTGCCAATTTGAACAACATGATCTCCTATATTCCTTAAGATTCTAGAGGAACTATAGGCCCCTGTGGCAATATTGTCTTGTCAACAGGAAAGGACCTCCAGGCTTTGATTGGAGTAAGTCCAAACCAGAATGAGGGTAATGCAAGACCCAAGCCCAACAGAAGTTTTGTGAAAAAAAAAAAAAAAGCAACATTTTGAACCTAAAGGTAAAAAGCGGGGGG